ATATCTGCTCATCTTGTGACCATGGATGATCACTACTTTTCAAGGTGCACTGTGGGAAATTTTGAGTCCACTACTGTTTCCTCCACTAGACGTTCTGATGCTCATTAAAAATGGCATAAGCACTATTTAGTGCCCTATATATTGATTAGGGCGGATGTTCCGGCACGGCCAATATGACTGCCTCACAGATTTCTGGCAAAGTTTTTATGCCCTTCCTGACCAAACCTACAACACATCCATGTCTGCTCTATTAAAGAAAAAAGGAATATTTATGAGTTCTTGAAATGCTGCTTCCAGAGTTATAATTAGAGATGGGATCAAGTCTTTATCAGAGGTTTAGAGGTAGAGAGGCTGGTGATTATGTGAGACGTGTGTGGTTTTGCAATCCCTCCCAGCTGAGTCATTTCAGTCTTTTATCATTGCAGAGAGGGTGTTTACACGGTTGCTGAGAAGATGAGAGAGAAGCAGTGCTGGGAAGGAACGCCAAAAAGAAAGTAGAGTGAAGAAAATGAGGGTCAAAACAAGGGAGAAAGGCAGTTCTGGAGGAGAAAAGCTTGTTGTTAAGAGGGGGAGCTCTCTGCCCTGTTCTGTTCTCCAGGTGTTTTCTTGCCCTTCTCTCCTCCTGTTCCTCCCCCATTATTGTCGTGACCTTGACGTGGAGGAATGTGCTCCCTGCTCTGAGTCGAGAGGGAAAAGGAGGGAGGAAAAGGAGCTCCTCCGGCACTATTTAATCCCACCACACAGGTTTTAGTTTTGTGTCCTGCACAACCTGGGACTTCAAAGATATAATGCAGAGCACAGAAGGAAAATCACTTCTTGTGCTCTGATTCCAGCAACAACTTCCTTTCTTTTTTTCTATTTGTTTCCAAAAGATCCTGCTGCTCAAAAGGGCTTAGATCTACCAAAGATACAGATCCAACTAAACATTTAATACACTCTTTTGTTGTTTTTTTCATTTGCCTACAAGGCACATGGTTAAGTTATATTAAATATACAAATTTTTTACTTGCTAAGATGTTCTGTCTTTGTTAAGTTTATTCCTGACTTGAATTTAAGGCTTTAGAGTTAAGATATAATACACAGGTTCATGTTTTTTAAACCATCCCAATCCCTGTGTGATTTAGACTGAGTGGTAAACAGTCAATAGACTTTATTTGATCTTACTTCCAGTCAGAGGCTTTTGTAGCTTTATGAGTCATGCACATTTTGCAGACTGCACCTTTGTTTTTGAATTTCTTGGTTTAACAAGAAGTTGCACTAATGTGATGTGACTCATGAGGTAAAGTGGAGCAAAACTGAGGAGCTGCAGCTGCAGATCTAAGAGTGGATCTGAATTTATGAAATAATTGACTTTTGTCTTTAAATATTCAGACTTTTGGAAATATAACTACACACCTGTAAGTTTTCCATGTTTTTCTCAGTTTAAAAACACACCCATCCTCACATTATATTGTATTTTTATTCGATAGACCAACACCAAGAGGTGTATATTTTTGAAAAATGAAAGTATGTTTGTATTTAGCTCCCTGACTCACTGCTTTGTAAATCCACATTTGTTTTCGTTACAGATTTTGGGGTATGTCTCCACCAGCTTTTTTATATTTAGACAATTAAGTTCCTGCCCCTACTCTGGGCAAAAATTTTAATATATATCTCTATTTTTTTTAAAGATATTTTGATTTCAGTCAGATTTCATGCAGAGCACCTCAGAGCTTAAATGTTGAAGATCCGATCCTGGCTGTATGTTCACCTCAAAGTCCTGAGAGAAGGCTGGCCTCTGCTACAGTCTCATTCTATATTGTCTTTGAACTTGAGAAGTTTCTCACCCCAGCTAAAGAAAGGCACACACACAACATGATGCTACCATCACCATGCTTCACAGAGCGAATTACATGTTCTGGGTGACGTTCATTGTTGTTTATTATTTAACCCCTGTTGGTGTTCTCACTGTAGGCCAGATAGTACGGTTTTGGTCCCCTCTAACCAGACCATTGCTTGGTCCAAGACATGTGTTGAGTTACACTGTGAGATTTCTGTAAAAGTAAAAAAAAACAATCTACTAAAAAATCCACTCGTTAAAGGGGGGGGGGACTGTCTCCCTTTAACAATCCCCCCCTTTACTGACCGACCTTCAGAATCATAGACATCATAGACGTTTCAGATATTACAGGCTAACAATGGAACCAAACGACCTGCTCGTCGGTTTCAATTTGCATGTTTCCAAGCAATAAAAGGCCTTGTCTATATGAGACTCAAACTCCCTGCGGATCCACACATTTATATTGAGAAAGATTCCTGGAGGAGAAGCGAAAGGTCTTCAAACCTTGGAAACCAAGTCCAGAGGATTGTTTTTTCTTTAAAACTTATACGGAATGACTATGACCTGGATGACTGAGAATCTTCATCAGCATACTGTGAGATTTGTGTACAACGGATAGTTGTGGAACTCTGCAGCTCCTCCAGAGTCACAGTGGGCCTCTTGGCTGCTCTTCTGAAAAAGTTTAGGTGTATGGCCTGGTTTTGATGAGATTGCAGCTGTGCTATACTAAGATAATGAATTGAACAGAGCTCTGTAGGATGGTCAAAGGTTGAGGTATCACTTTATTAACTATATTTGATTTAAACATTTCAAAAGCTTCCTTTCTGGTGGTCTGCTTTGGTCCTCATGATGATATTTGTTCTTCCCAGAACGCCTGGATTTACACACACGGGGACTCTTCTCTTTTAATGAATAGGTATCTTATTTAAAGGTTTATGAGTGGAAAAATAATATGATCTATTTCTAGATACACTTACAATTTCACTACACTAACTTATTCTATCAGATAAAATCCGAATAAAGTAGAAGTTTGTTGCTTTAATTTTGAAGAAGTTCAACAGATTAGATAAGTGACTGCAACGTGCAATTATATCATTTAAATCCTGGTTTTGTTTAAATTTACTTGTGTTTTATTCCACAAATTGAGACCAAAACCCAAGTAGACCCTCTCACATCTTGAAAGGCAATTGAACTAAATTAATCTTTATTTTTACAGCTATGTTTATGCAGTTAAGTCGGTTGTATATGAATTTAATGTTAGGTAGTTTTGGGAACATGAAGAAGTGACGTATTTACCTCATTGAGACGTGTTTTATTTAATGTAGAGAACATGTTTGTTGTCTATAATGCTTTACCCACTGCAGCAGATTGTCATGATATAAAGCAAGCATTTCTTAAAATGTTCCTGAATGCACAGCTCAGACCTGAGCCACCATAAAGGGAGAAGGATTTAAAAACCATGAAGACGAACAAGTCTGGACCTGCTTTATTCTTGGATGCAGAAGCTGTTTCTTCTCATGTTTACCTGAGGTACCGTCCTATGTGGTCGTCTTGCATTCTTTGTTTGGTACCACTGAAGGCTCTACTGTAATAGTTGGTGTACTGGAAAAAAAAACGATTGGTTGTCCTTTCTGTTGATGGATTAATCACAAACTTCCTGTTTGAACAGCTTGTCTGCTGGCTGTCGTTTCACTGCACAGAAACAGCACTTCTTAGAGTTTTCAATGATCCGCTTTTAACTGCAGACTCGGGTGACTGCTGTTTTAGTCTCGTTTGACTTTACTGTTGCTTTGGAGACACTGACTGGATCATGTTTTATTTTCCCATCTGAGTCAGCTTGCCTCTGTTTTTTATTGATCTTACTCTAATTCATGTCAGACTGAAGAGTTTTTTTTTCTGTCCAGTTTAGTCAGTTTTCCTCTGCTTATGCCCCTTGAATTTTGGGTACTCCATTTTAGGTCCTTAATTTACATATGGGGACAGTTGATGAAACAAAGTCTCATCAACAGATAATCTTCAGATTTATCTTCCCATCAAGGCAAGTGGAAACCATTCAGTACATCAGCCATTAACACTTGAAACTACATGAAAACCTGTATGGGGTCGGATGGAGCGATACTAATTGAAGCCTTGTTTGCACAACCAGAACCAAACATGGAGGAGCAACATTTAGTTCCTATGCTCCACTATTCTGGAACAGAATCCCAGAAGACTGTAAAAGTGCTGAAAGACTGAGTTCTTTTAAGTAAAAGTTAAAAACGCATTTATTCAGAGCTGCCTTTGACTGTTAATCTGTTAACTGAGGTATCCTTAGTTTAAGCTTGTTTTCGAACTGTTTTGTTTTTATCTTTATTAGCTTTTTTTCTGCCTTTCCCCCTCTTTTTCTCATGTAAATCACCTTCAATTGTCTTTGTACTGGATTGTGTGAAATAAATAAACTTGCCTTACTGAGGTCTATCATGTACTGCTGTCAGGAATCTTTAAGTATTTCGTTTTTTACGCCGCCCATATTTCAGGTCTGCTGACGTGTAGCAGGCATGTTGAGCAAATGACCCCCTATGGGACTGATTTTTATCGTTTAGATTTATTTAAATGTTGAATTGGTCACGCATCTTTTTATTTGAAGAATAATTGACCGCAGCATGCTCCCAGAAGTGGTTTGAGGTCTGAACTCCGGATGCTTGTAGATGTTTCTAGAACTTGTCTTGTGACGCGAGTAGAACAAGCTGATGTTGAGGTTTTCCAGCAGTCTTCCACTTAAAGTGAGGAAGGCTGAGACTTTCAATGGTTTTTGGTCCCTTGTGAAAAAACCCTTTTTCAAGTTGGCTTTTAAATCCATATTGAGCAGGAAAAATTAGGCTGTTTATTTATTTTTTTTATTTTTACTTTCTGCTTTTAGCTATTCTTAACTTTTTCTCTATTTCTTTTTGTCTTATTGTTAATTTTTTTTAAATGTGTGAATTTATGCTTATGACAATTTGTTAATTAAATGATTTTTTTCCTTTTTTTCTCTGTTTTGTAATGCATCATTCCTCTAATGGGTTTTAATGTATTTCTATGTTCTAACAATCCTTAAACAAGGCAAAGTATTGCTACATCCAGACAGAACAGAGTCACCCTCTGTTTTATTTCTTAGTGCTGTTGTGTTTTGCTAACGTATGTTTCCATGTGTCGCCTGCAGGAGCTGTGCCAGTGCCGTCCCTCTGATGGAAACTGCTCCTGCTGTAAAGACTGCATGCTGTGTCTGGGGAACCTCTGGGAGGAGTGCTGCGACTGCGTCGGTAGGTGCAGGAGTCTTATTTGTTACAGGCGTTGGTTTTAAAGGTCAGTCAGCTCTATTTTGGTGTCGGAAAACTTTACAGAGCGCCCAAAGCTTGCTGCTGATGAAACACTACTGGTGGAAAGTATTTGACCGAACATCAGAGAAGAAAGACCCAATTGGAGGTTCATCACATTGGATTCAGCATAGTTTATTTAGTTTTTTATTTTTTAATCATTGATGTAGTTAAAGACGGAATAGTTAAACAAGGCGCAAATAGAGCAACTTTTAAAGAAAATGTTTTGTCAGGTGTTTGTTAGAAGATGTATAAAGCAGGATTATGTTTGTATGAGTAATGCTTGGAAGTCTGGACAAGTAACAGGACATTTTCACAGGTCTGAAAAACAGCAGTAAACCAAGACATATATCTATTTACAAATACAAGTCCTCTTCCATCCTTCCATCCCTGCCTCCTTTGAGTTTTGCTTCCTAATCTAATTCCGCAGAAGAGCCTGTAACCATATATATAATAGTCTATACAGCCCACATAAGCCCAAGATCTTAAAGTTAGAATCTGGAAGAGTATATCTAAATCCCTTAATTGTCCCACAATGGGAAAATTTTCTCTCTCCATTTAACCCATCCCCTTGGGGAGCAGTGGCTGCCATTGCGCGGCGCCCGGGGAGCGGAGTGGGGTTAAGGGTTTTGCTCAGGAACCCAAAGTGCAGGCTGTAGGGATCGAACCGGGTACTTTTAACCTTCTCAAAACACAAGAGCACTGTTCTAACCAACACCGCCCAACTATATCTCATTCAAAAGGATATATTGGTTAAGAAACTTTTAGAAATCTGTCTCTTTTCATAGTTTTTAGTCATTAGCAGAGGAAAAAATATGCTGGATGGACGGACAGATGTTTATCTGCATTTTTTGGCGATTATATCCTGTAAAATAAACAGTTGTAGGTAGAGGGATTGCTCTACTGCAGAACGCCACTGGAGACAAAGACCTGCTGCAACACAATAATAATTGAACTTTATTGATCTCACATTGGAGAAATTTACCTCTTCATTCAACCCATCCCCTTGGGGAGCAGTGGGCTGCCATTGTGCGGCACCCGTGGAGCAGTGTGGGATTAAGGGTCTTGCTCAGAGAGCCAGAGTGGAGGCTGTGGGGATCGAACTAGATACTTGCAACTTTTACACGGTTGCACCCTCAGAGCAGCAGCGCATTGCTCTAACCACTTCGCCAACACTCCCCCATTCATTGCTGTTGTTTTCCAGTGCATTTAGTTGACAGATTGTTGTGTTTCTTTCCCTTCTGCTACTTTGCAGGTCATTCAGCTCCTCCCTATTTCTGCATGCTTTGTTTTCCAAGAAGGTTTTTTTTTTTTTTATCTTTTTGTGTTTTTTTTCAAAAGAAATTTTGCTGTTTTGTTTGCAACAGATTAAAAAAAGAGAGATGAGTTGAACGCTTTAGCGACCCATATGTTGTCACTCTGTTGACACAGCATCAGGTTCTTTGCAGCAACAACACGTTTCTAACGATTCGCTTACCGAAACAAACATGATTTAACTGCAAGCAGAGGTCTGTTCTTCTCTGACTCTGGAGATCACAGATGCAAACCAGTGAGCAGCTCTGACTGACAGATATAGCTGTGCTTGCTGACATGCAGGCTTTATTAAAATGCTTTCATGTGGAACACAAGAACAACGATCTGAGAACCAAACTCTATGCTGCTGCAGCTGCTGCTAAACAGATGTTGGAGCCGCCTTCTCCTCCTGGACGGGCCTTTTACAACACATCGAGGAAATGTCGTAGCTCAGAGCAAATATATCGTCTTCATTTATGTTTTCTCCCCGTTTTCACTGTCCATTTTCCACTTAAAACAACTTATCTGTGCCAAACTCTGACTGCTTTGAAGTGAGAGTGTTTAGAGGAGCAGGAAGGAAGATTTAGGAGGCTCATTGGAGAAGCTTGGATTAAAAAAAAAAAAAAAAAAGGGGGGAGGTGGAGCAGCGAGGGAGAGAGGACCCATGAGTGTGTTTTATCTAAAACAGCTGCTCTGGCTCTGCTTTTAGCATCGGCTTGTAATCCAAATCCTCTGTCAAACTCCGTCCCCCATTAAATGATTTACCCATTAGCTGTAATTCACTGGGACTCATTGCACAGGGTTGGAAAATTGTATCTAGGGATGTGCAGACTTTTTCACAATTGCTACTGTTAGTTAAGGCCGGTTTAACACTTCATTTATATCAACTGAGATAAGACACTTCTTTTTTAAAGCTGGTTTAAATATATTTCTATTTTTCCTGATGCTTCTCTGCAGGGATGTGTAACCCCAAGAACTACAGCGACTCTCCCGCCACCTCCAAGAGCACGGTGGAGGAGCTTCACCGCCCCATCCCCTCGCTCTTCCGCGCCCTGACAGAGGGCGATGCGCCCATCAACATGATGGTGGTCTCCTTCCCCGTGGCTGAGGAGTTCACGCACCACGAGAACCTGGTTTCCTTCCTGGAGTCCCTTAACAGCCAACCCCAGAATGTGTCGGTGCCTGGGAACAGCATCCACAGCAGCTTTGATCCTCATGGTAAAAACAAAAAACGTATTCTCACCTTTTGTTACAGAGCATTACCATGAAACGATGGAGGAATGATTACTTTAGCTAAAAAACACACACATACCATGATACTACCCCATCATATTTACTAGTAGGAATACATAATCTTAAGGGACAAACAAATTAGCACTATATTTAGAAAAATAGATACATTTTAGCATTTAAGGTTTTAATAGTTATTGTTTCATTCATATGTTCTCACATTTAAACATTCAGTCTCCCATGTATGTTATCTAATAGACTGGAGGTCTAGTAGACTAGGGGGTCCACAAAGGTTTTTTTTTTTCTTCTTCATTTCCCCTGATTGAAATGTCTTTAAATACACTGTAGTAAACAGTTAAATGGAGGCAGATAATGTCTTTCAGTCATCGATTCCAGTAGCACTTCTTGACCAAATTCTGAAAAAGTTTAAAAAACAATCCACTGGACTGGGTTTCCAAGGTTTGAAGATGTTTCGCTTCCCATCCAGGAAGCTTTCTCTATTCAAAATCTCTGGATTCGCATTGAGATGAGGCTTTATATAGTGGACCAAAAACAAGGCCTTGCATCCTAAAGATAAAACCCGCAGACTGAATATGAGCGGAGTGGTATATGCTGTTCAGTGCAGCGAGGAATGCTCTGATCTCTATATTGGAGAAACCAAACAACCTCTCCACAGACGCATGGCCCAACACAGAAGAGCGGCCTCCTCTGGACAAGACTCTGCCGTACAACTACACCTTGTGGACCAGAATGTTCACATTCTGGATTGAGAAAATAGGTGGTTTGAGAGGGGCGGGAAGGAAGCCATCTATGTCAAGAGAGAAAAAACAACCTTAAACAGAGGTGGTGGACTCAGATTCCAGCTTCCAAAAACTTACAATTCAGTTATTGAGTTGATTCCTTCCAGGTATCCCAAACCCCACCTCATTACAGGTGAACAGAGTACCTCCTCTCTTCAGCCAGGTAAACAATGCCCCCTTTAACGACCGACCCTTCCCAATCATAGACAGGTTTCAGATATTACAGGCTAACAATAGAACCAAACGACCCACTCATGAGGTTGAATTTGCATGTTTCCAAGCAATACAAGGCCCTGTTTTACAGACATCTGAATTGAGAAAGCTTCCTGGATGGGAAGCGAACAGTCTTCAAACCTTGGAAACCAAGTCCAGTGGATTGTTTTTTTCAACTTTTTCGGAATGACTATGACCTGAAAGGAATGACTATGACCTGGGTGACTGAGAATCTTCATCATCATATTCTAGACCAAATGTACCAGGGGTCCAGGAAGGGGGCCAGTGTGTTTTCATGGGGGCACAGAAAAGCATGTAATAAAAAACAGGGCAAGGGATTCAAATATATTAAGAGAGCTGCATGAGAATGTCTATTCAAATAGGTTTAATTAAAATTCCATGTCCTATTAGTTCAATATACATTCATTGTTTAGGAATTTTACATATTTTTGACTTAATTTAAGTTAAAATTATCGTTTTCTATAAAATCTGAATTAGAACAAAAAAAAAACTTGAGAAATTCAGCTGTAAAAATTAGAGCAACTGAAATCTGTCAAAAAGAAATATTGTTAAAATCTTTTTTATTAAAGTAAGGGCTGCTGTTTGCCACAAGGCATCTAAGGGATACGGTAAACATGTGGAAGAGTTTGCTGTGGTCAGATAAAACCAGGCAGGGAAGTAATACTGAGTATCACCCTGATGTACAACCCCCCCACCAACATGTTAGTGGCAGCATCATGCTGTGGGGGCTTTTAGGGGATAAGAAAGCTATTCAGAGACGAGAAGAGGGATTGAGCTACAAGAAGGAGGAGAACTGCAGAGCAAGGGTTTGGATCAAAGCATATTCATGTTTGAAAATGGCCTAATCAAAGTCCAGACCTATTTTAAAATCTTTATTTAAGCCCCTAGTGGATTTATAATTTATTTATTTTTTAAATATGCATATAGGAAAGGGAGGGAAAGACAAGCAGTAAAGTTTATAAATATGAATATAAGTATCCTTTATTGACCTACAGTGGTGAAATTCATTCTCTGTAGAAGAATTAGTTAAAGCTAGTAGAGACTTATTCCAAAACAGTATAAATCTAAATATCTAACAGTGCATCACTTGTAAGTGCGCACAACTTTGTTTAAACTTCTCACATAAAATCTTAAATAAAATCTTTTGGTTGTAATATATATATTTGAAATTGTTTAAGGGCTATTAAAACAAAGCAGGCTAATAAATATCTAAGAAGCTTTAAAATAAACAAATATGATTTTTTAAAAATTTATTATAGGGCTTTGATATGGAAACTCTTGGACTCGCTCTGACCATCCATCAGCTCCACATTTTTACTGTGTGAGATGAAACCATGTTTGGATGCCTTTCCTTGCCTTGTTGTTTTCATATGTCTTTTATGTTCCCCCTTAACCAGCACTGCTGATTATAAACCTACAGCATTCCCACAAAGCTGAGCAGTTAGCTCATTACACCCACCTAAAACACATGGTCTCACTTCGCTACAGCAAACCCATTAAGTAAAAGTGGAAACAATGAGGGCTAAAGGTAATTATGTGTTTTTGTGAAGCATGTTTTGCTGGATTTAGGACTCAACCTGCTTCCTTTTATTTCCAGAGAAAATGTGCACTGTGGTTTACTTTGACGACTGCGTGTCCATTCGTCAGTGCAAGCAGTACTGTGAGTCAATGGGAGGATCAAAGTACCGCTGGTTTCACAACGCCTGCTGCCAGTGCATCGGTCCGGAGTGCCTGGACTACGGCAGCAAGGCCGTGAAGTGCGTGAACTGTCTTTTCTGACCCGAACCGATCTCATATCTGGGTACATGTCGGTTTCAAATGTCTGGTATGAACCAGAGGACTGAGGGAAGAGAAACCTATGACTGTTATATGTTAGCATTCCTCAGTAACCGTGTAAAATAAGCCCCACCTCCTCCCTCTCCTATCCCTGCAAAGGATTTTTTTATTCTGCTGTTACTGTATATTTTTAGATATGTCTTCCATAGTGTTTTTTACTAGAGGTGTATATGAATAATGTATTTTTGCAATTATTGTCAGCAAAATCCCAGTCTTTTACCAAATAAAGAAAAGATTTGGTAACATAGCTTTTTGTGTTTCAAAGGTTGGTCTTACGAATAATTTCACACCCTTGTCCTTCAGTTTGTGAAGGATTATTCAATATAACGCTGAAACCAATGTTTTTTAATTTAGGACCTTGAGAACTTGGTTGTTTTGGATCTTCTGGGTCTGGTTTTCTGATGTTCTCGAGTCAACATGTCCGTTCTGTACCAAACCTCACTGGCATTTATCACTAGAAAAAGGTTACCTTTTCCCTTTGGAAATGGAGTTCCCAAAGGCTCCATTTTAGGATGCCTCGAATTGTAGCTCCTAGCTCTCATTCCTAGCTCTTATCCTTTCTCTCCTTCCATGGGGTCAACAGTGAGAACACTATCCAGGGTAGGAAAGGAGCTCTGGACTGCTATCCTGAATCCAAACACCCTTCAGCCCTACAGACGTCTTAATAGTCATGCATGACTTTGGTCAAATTAGGACTGCAGTCCTCTGGAAAAAAAAACTACAAAAGTTATGCAAATGTATAGAACAGATAAAGCTCTCCATTATAAAATGACAAATGTATAATTGTTTGTGTCACATAGCACATGGGTTAAATGCATAGGGTAAATTTCTCCAAAGTGAGATCAATAAAGTTCTATTATTATTATTATTATAACACTATTTGGTATTAGCTCCTTCCTGCCAGCACTATTCAGAGGGCACTTATTATGGTGACACACTATTGCTTTTAGTGTCTTTAACGCATAAAGATTTGAGGTATTCAGATTGAGCCTTAGTTATTGTTCGTCTTTCACAACATTCTGTGGATTCCAGCATTTGGAGACATGGGCTTCATATCCACTACTTTCTTATTTAGATATTTTACTGTTTTAATGGAATTTAGTGACCCATTTGTGAAATACAGGTAAAACAAATACTTCAGTTGGCTAAAATGACTGTTTTTTCCAACACCCAATTGTATGAGGAAAAAAGCAAAAATATTATTTACATCCAAACCTTTTTTTATTGAGCTTTCACCTACTCAGCTCTAACTTTTTAGAATGAGCTTTGTCACTTTTATGCAAATAGCGTATATTTTGCTGTACTCCCCACCTCAGTGGTCACAATGTCACCTGAAAATGGCTGTAAGCCGATGCACATAGGTACAACTATAGACCCAGAAAGAGAAGAAGTGGATCCATTCACACAACCAGCAGGGTTGCATCAAGCACATTCTGGAAGGTAAGTACATTTTTTGTTGGCGTTAGCTTGTGCTAAATGGCAAATATGTAAATGACAAGCAAAGCAAAACACAGAAGACAGATTTTCAATGAACAGTGGGGACAGAACCTGGCTATAATGCAAATCTTTCAGTAAACAAAAAAATCCTTTTCTGTTTTGCTATTGCATAGCCGCCACACTGGTACTCCCTAGTTGGACCGGTCAGAATATAAACAATATGTGCGACGCAGCATTGAACAACGAGTACATTCTCATTTTCAGGGGGGCCTAAAGGTATTTTTAAAAGACCCGCCCTTTCCACTTAAAAAAAAAATGCATGTGCAAGAGTTAGCACAAGCCTATTTCTCCTCGTGCACTGTCCGTTTAAAACTTGCTGTTCTCACAGCTCATACAAGCTTACAGTGTCCCAGCATCCGCCCTAACCCCTAAATCTCTCAATCACTAAAAAGGGCAGGGACTTTATAGTGAAGTCAGTCAACTTACCGTTCGGACAGATGATCACTTCCCTGTGCCATCTTTGTTATTAGTCACCGCTGTTGGGTAGCGACTGCTGGCCGCTGTGACAGCAAATCCCATGCGAGGAGAGCTCTCCGCGCAAAGCATTCCAGGATATATCTGCCTCTTCTGAGGCCTCTCTTTTCTTCTCATACACTTTGTAGACACTTTATTTCTTCGTAGACACTTTATTTCTTAAGACCCTCGGCTATCCTATTGACTTTCTGATACCTTAGCTGACCACAGATATATGCCTGAAAGTGCACATGTGCAGAAAAAGGTAGCTAATGGGACGAGCACATAGGATGGCCTTACATAAATATATCACCATAATGAGGAGGACCACTTATTTAGATGATCCACCCAGAAATAAAATATTGTACTCTATACTAAGATAAATCCATCGCTTTGACACACACTTGCTGTTTCATAGCATAAGTAGATTAATGTAATTTAAGGTAAAACATGAGCGCATCACATTGCATATTAAGTATGAAGCTTATAAATCATGTTTTATAACATATTACGCAAATCCATCACNAGCTTGTGCTAAATGGCAAATATGTAAATGACAAGCAAAGCAAAACACAGAAGAAAGATTTTCAATGAACAGTGGGGACAGAACCTGGCTATAATCCAAATCTTTCAGTAAACAAAAAATTCCTTTTCTGTTTTGCTATTGCATAGCCGCCACACTGGTACCCCCTAGTTGGACTAGTCAGAATAGAAACAATATGTGCGACGCAGCATCGAACAAAGATGATGTTCTCATTTTCAGGGGCGCCTAAAGGTATTGTGGATTTTCTCACATTTTTTGAAAGACCCACCCTCTCCACTTAAGAAAAAAAAAATAAATCCAAGAGCATGCACAAGCTCATTTCTCCTTATGCACGGTCTGTTTAAAACTTGCTGTTGTCACAGCTCATACAAGCTTACTGTGTCCCAGCATCCGCCCTAACCCCTAAATCCCTCAATCATTAAATAGGGCAGGGACTTTATAGTGAAGTCAGTCAACTTACCGTTCGGACAGATGATCACTTCCCTGTGCCATCTTTATTAGTCACTGCTGTTGGGTAGCGACTGCGGGCCGCTGTGACAGCAAATCCCATAATGCTTTGCAAGGAGAGCTCTCTGCACAAAGTATCCTTGGATATATCTGCCTCTTCTGAGGCCTTTCTTTTCTTCTCATACACTTCCTAGACACTTTATTTCTTAAGACCCTCGGCCATTTTCAAAGAACCGCCGTGAGAAAGGTGGGGTTCAGTGACTTTCTGATACCGTAGCTGACCACCGATATATGCCTGAAAGTGCGCGTGTGCAGAAAAAGGTAGCTAATGGGATGAGCGCATAGGACGGCCTTACATAAATATATCACCATAATGAGGAGGACCACTTATTCAGATGATCCACCCGGAAATAAAAGATTGTCCTCTATACTAAGATAAATCCATCGCTTTGACACACACTTGCTGTTTCATAGCATAAGTAGATCAATGTAATTTAAGGTAAAACATGAGCGCATCACATTGCATATTAAGTATGAAGCTTATAAATCATGTTTTATAACATATTACGCAAATCCATCACAACAAAATTAGTGTGTTAATGGAGCATAATACTGTAGTCAGATATTAATAATATTACATTTACACTATCTGATGTTGTGCCAAACGTGCTAAATTGATGATGTACATGTAATATACACGCATTGATTAAATTGTTATGGTAATTACATTATATTCCAGGTATTTTTATTGCGCGACTCTGTGGAAGTGGGGAATACCAAGATGGTGGCAGGAGACCTCAGTTTATATCAGTCTATCAGCAATACATTGAATAAATAGAGATCAGTCAGTAAAGACAGCTGAACAAAGGTGTGTGGGCGGAGCTCAGCTTCTGCTGGAGTTATATTAAAGGTGGTGTTGTGGTGTGATAATCAGAGTTTTGAAATGGTTCATTTTCCACAGACCAACAAAGTATTTATTTAGTGCCAAAAAACTGATGGATATTTTTCTTCCTAGCACTTGTTTCTAGGAGCTGTAGAGACACAAGTGGAAGCACAAATAGGTGCTGAATTTTGATCAACAGGTCCCATTTAAAAGATTATTTTAAAATATGTCATCATTTTGTTTAATTAAAACCTCATTAGTCGAAAGCGTGTAGCATTGTTAGTGGAGTTTTTTGTTTTTTTCTTACTCTGCTGATCTTATCCTAGCGTAGTGTTTCAAAAGTCCGGAAACGCATCATTTCCTGGGGAAACAACGTTGTTATTCTTTCATTCTGGTCAACAGGTGTTCAGCTCTCAATGACCATCTCATGCAAGCCAAGAGGAAAACATTCCCTGATGCCAATCTCTCCCCACCGCACACAAATGCTCTTTGTAGTGCCAGTACATTTTCAAAAAGCAGCAGGATGCCCTATCACTGATTATGTTCCCAATTGGCATGCAATGTGCACAGACTCATCTTGCAGGCGCACAATGAAACCTTGTCCCCCCTTTTATTTATTACTATTATTATATAGAGTCCTGACCTCATTTCAACACTGCAGCTGTGGTTGTGGTACAGACCAAGCCAACAAAAGATCATCAGAGGACTAATTTGTTTCGTATGTCCCGATGACCACCAGCTCCAAATCCAAACCACAAAGCTTTGGAAATATACACATGAGTCAGAATAGCAAATGGTTTCACCAAATTTAGTTTGCCCTGCTACTCAGAACTCAGTTTGACAGCTCCATCCCTTAAAAGAAATCCAAAGTGAAGTTAAGCTCAGAATGATACCACAGTCTAAACATTCTCCAAACCAAACTTGGTCTAAACACCTCCAGACACCATGCAGAACATATTTATCACTATGTTGCTCAGGCGTGGCAGTAAAACCTGAAGTAATCCAAACATCAGAGCTTTTCTTTTTTTTGTTTTCTTTTTTGCATGTCCTGCTGTGGCAGAATGGCCACACAGCCCAGTGGGTCACATTACCTTTCAGTGTCAGAGTGGATTTATTTTACAAACAGAAAGGTAGGGATGTTTCTGCTGTTGCGTAAATGATTTAATTGGATTGATGTGATGCACCTGGTTCAGGCAACAAACATCAATTACTTCAAAGGTTGTTTTTTTTAAAACACAGTTGAAGGAGTCTCACTAGTTTTATATTAAGAATTAATTAAGCATTTTTGGATGTTGAAACCAAGGGTCTGAAGAAAATACATTTTTAAAATGTAATAAAAAAAATTGTACATTTCTCGATACAAACTGCACAACTGAAAATCATTGAATCCCATTGAATAGAAAGTCTAGGTCAAATTTATCAAG